ACACACACACACACACACACACACACACACACAGGTGTATTAGCTTGATATTCAACACTCCATCTTTCAAACTCCCCCCGGTGTAGCTTCTCCGTCACACTGAGCTACACACAGTTCAAACTGGCCTCACACTGACCCACCTGTGTCTCAGGGAGGTGCAGTCCTCGGCTCTTGGTGAACTCAGAGTACAGAGCTTCCACGTTTCTCCTCCTCCCTCTCCTCCTCCTCAGTGAGTCATCTCCCCTCAGGCTCCCGTTAACTATCTGCCCTGTAACAGGATGGATGAGCCCGGCCTGCAGTATCCCCGCCATGTCGATTCCCACAGAGCCAGTTAACGGTGCTGTGATGGGGGGCGGCGGCAGCTTGTGGCCGCTGCCGGCACCGTGGTGGCTGATTCCTGGTGCAACCACAGCGTCACCCGAGCCACTGCCACTAGTGGTGCTTATTTCTGTAGACGACTTGGTTAGATCGATGGCTGCTTCTTGCCAGCCGTTCATCAACATGGCTCCTGTGCGGTGAGAGGGCGGGGCCACCACCGGCACCTTCTCACCACTGGAGCTTGTGGCGGCGGCAGCGTGGCACGCCGACGCTGATTTCCCAGCTAAAACCTTGGCAGCGGCTGCAGCGGCCGCGGCTTCGTAGTCGAAAGACCTCCGACCTCCTGCACGTTTGAGCTCGGGGAGGTAGGGAGGAGCCACGAGCCTCTCCTGTAAGAGAGGCAAGGAGGTGAGGCGCCAAGCTCCGCGCCCGCATGCGCCGCCCCGCGGCATGTACTGTCAGGGTGGACAGGGTGGGTGAGGGGTAGACAAGAATGGGAGAGAGATGATGGCTTTATTAAACATACATATGGACTGAGACACAACACAGTGGCGGCTGTCAACCAGACCTGGGTAAAACTACGTCAACACCTCAACACTATAGTTTTCAGCTCTCGGATTTGATCATCATGATTGACAGCTAAGACTGGCCTCGCAGTTCGTGGAGTATCTACAGGAACTCGCTGCAAGATGGCCGCTTTCATGTAACGGATACTTCATTTCGGGAGAGCGGGAGGAAGTGGAGACTCGAGAGCAACAATTTTCTGCCTGAACAAGAATTATCGGAGCCTAATCTAAACCTGCTGTTTTCCCCAAACTACAGGCACGTGAAGGGTAAAGAATAAAGTAGAGAGCCCAGCTAACGTGACCATACCCGACCACTAATATTATTTTAAACGTTTTGTCGGAACCCAGCCCTGACTCAACGATCCCAAAGGGCTTGGATTGCGGACTTCCACACCCTAGTGGAGACATGTCGTCTGTCTTTATTTAACATCAATGGTGATTATTCGTTTACCGCCAAGATTACGAGATATTAAATCAAATAAATAGTTCACACCCTCAGTTCCCTGGTTTATGGTGTGTAACATTAGTTAGACAAGAACTGAAATAAAAACGTATTGAATTTTTCTTGAAAGTGATTTTCCTCATATTTGAAACGTATTAATTTATATGACTACATGCCCAAGTCTGATATCAACATGTATAATATCAACAGTACACATTACAGACACAGGAAACTTTACAAGAAGGCAATGATGAATCTATGAAGTGAACCAGAGGTGCCCAGTGTCACCTGACAAACCTGCTCCATATTTCCCAAATATCAATATAAGTTGAGATATTTTAACTAAACTGATCCTCGTGCTAGATAACACTGACAAAGATAAATTAGACATTCAACGTTTATCTGAAAATAATATTTAAATATAACTTGAACTTCATCATCAGTTTAAACTGGACACCACTTTTATGAACCATGACATGAGACAATGGAAATAAATGTAGACAGATGACAGATACCTCGATATGCACAAAAAAGTGTTTTATTAATTCATCAGGTCACAGGTTCATTCTCACCTTAGGTAGTCTCGTCAGAGGCGGAGGGATCTGGAACGCCAGTCCCGGGTTTGTCTGCTGAACTCTGGCCTGTCCCTGGACGGAGCTTGAGGTCGTGGTGGGGAGGAATCCCGCTCGCTGCTGGTGGTGGTGGTGGTGGTGCTGGGCCAAGCTGTTGGCCAGGCAGGAGTTGGCGGAGAGGGAACCAGGCGCGTCGTGCTGCTCGCTGGGCCAAGGCCACTTCCCTTTCAGGATGGCGTGACAGATGCTGTCCAGACGATTAATGATCACCCGGTCCTACAGGGGCAGAGATAATGTGAGGGGAATTAAAAGTAGTGAATAAAAAGCTGTTTTCTTTGCTACTGTACTTTTTCTCTTTGTTTTTTTGGAGTTTGCAATTTTGTATCTGGGGGAAAAAATCAGTACAAACTGAAACAACAACCTAAAGTAAGTAAACATTTACAGCTCTGAAATGTGCGTCGATGTTAGACGGTAACGACAACACAGTACCTTCGGCCACTCTGAGAACGAGTAAAGTGCCTTCTCCTGTAAGAGCTGAGCGATGGTCGGCTCCCTGGCGTCATGGAGACTGTCGGGAATGTCACACATGGAGATGGGAGCTGCAAACCTGGGGCTGCCCGCGTATCCTTCCACCACAGGGACTATGAAAGAGGACGACAGGTTTGAAACCAACAGTTTGTCTAATGAGAAGTACAGCCTGGATTTTACAAATGACTTTTGCAAAGTCTGCGGTAAAGTGAGATCCTGCGACACCTCGTCCACACCCTGCTTCGTGACGTCATATTCTAAAGTTCTCTATAGATGCAGCAGCTGCTGTTCGGTGTTGGCTTCAAGTGAAGCTGTTATTTTATGAGAAACTTTAGTGTGAGCAAAATATGTCTCCTCTAAATGAGCACGTTTGAGGATTCTTACCTGGTGTACTCGGCCTCTCCTCCTTCACTTGGCCTTTCTCCACCAGGCTCTCCGAGGAGTCCACCAGCCCGTCCGCTTGCTCGAGCTTCGGGGTCAGGACAGTGCTGTCGGCCTCCAGCAGCTCCTGCTTCGTCTCAGATTTGATCTCCGTGAACTCGAGGCCCTCGGGCTTGGCCTCAGGTTTGACCTCTGAGCTGTCCGGGTAGGCTGCGAGCTCCAGAACGTCCGGCTTGGCTTCAGGCTTGATGACGGACGTGTCAGGAAAAGCTGTTAACCCTAAACCCTCTGGCTTCGTCTCACTCTTAAGCTTGGCGACATCTGGATAAGACGTGAAGTCGAGAGCCACTGGTTTGGCTTCAGGTTTGACTTCGACGCCATCTGAGAAGGCTGCAAACTGGAGAACTTCAGGTTTATGGTCCACGCTCTCAGGCTTCATGGAGATGCTTAGATCTTCGGGTTTTGACTGCGGGGTTTCTTCTTTCAGGGGATAATCTAACTGCTCCGCTTTGGTCACTAACTTTTCTGACTTGACGGGGTAAGCGAGAAACTTTGCATGTTTGACTTCACAGCTGTCAGGGTATACGGGTAACGCCTCCTCAGCGACCTCCATCTTTGTCTCCTCTACCTTGATTGGCTGCTCCAGTTGAGCCAGTTTCTTCTCACCCCCATCGTTTGGTAACAGAGGGAATTTAAGATCGGATGGTTTCGCGTCAATGCTGTTTTCAGGCAGAGCAGCGACGGGTTTGATTTTGATGCGTTGAAGCAGATTGTCTTTGTTGTCCTGATATGGGGCGATTGTCAGGGCTCCGTTCTTACAGTCTTCACCTGGACCTTCGTAATCTTCCTGATCTGTGGCGACATTCCCACCGTTCTTTGTGTTGGTCTCATCAGACTTTGATGCGTCTGTAACAGAGGTGAGGGAGGCTGAAGGGCAGGAGGGTCGTGTGCAGTCTGAGTAGACATCGTCCAGCTCGGTCTCACAGGCTTTAGTGTTTGATTGTTTCACCGGAACGTCCTCATCAACTTGATCTGAAAGATCTGTGTGCTCCATCGAACCATCCTCTCTGGAATCTTCTGCTAATTCTCTCGCTTGCAGGAACTCTTCAGATGCATTTCCTATTAAAGTTCCAGACTTTTCATTCGTCTCTCCATCAACGGTCTGATACAAAATCAACCCGTCCACCTCCTCCTCCGGCTCTTCAATAGACTCGGGACACTGCTCGATCTTCCCGAGATAAGGATGCACGACTCGGGGAAAGCCCGTTTTATGTTGTCCTTGCTCAAAGCGCTGCTGAAAGTCTTGAGACAGATGGTTTGACACGTCCATCCTCTCGTCCTGTTCTTCTGGTTCTAACCCATCGATCTGGTCCATGTGTGGATTCAAGACTCCCAAACTTTGGTCTGAAAATATAAGTCAGATGGAATTTAAATCAGGAGCAAAGGAAAGCAGGGGGGTTTATCTGATTATAGCATCTTTACATTTATTCTGATGGCTCATTCCTGATCTTCCACAAGATCTGGAAGTAGAAAATTCTAGTACCCACTGACACCTCCTCCAAACTTTTGAGACCAAGAAAATCATAATAGTAATAATAATAATAGTCAAATATACCTTGATGCGTGTCACTCTGCTCTCCTTCCAGACGCCGATCTCCTTCTTTGTGTCCCCTCTGCTCCATGTTCTCCCCCGACAAGTCTTCCACATCTTCTTCCTCCTTCTCGTCGAACTCAAACCCAGCGCCTCCGTCCCGCTCCTCTTCCTCGTCCACAGGATTGGTCAGGCTCACAGCGACATCGGAGTGGCCCAGCCTGTCCTGTGGCTCGTGGGCGGTGATGTCAGACAGAGAGAGGGGAGGAGGGGGGACGTACGGCGGAGGAGGGCTCACTGACAGGTCAGTTTGATCGGCGCTGGGTTCCTCACTCACACCAATGTCCTGAACAAAATAATAATAATGCATTGATTTATAAAGAACTTCCTCTAAACAATCTTTTAAACCACTTGCTTTATGTAACTTTGGTGACTGAGCCACGTGTGTCTGTAGAGGGCGCTGTTGCTCAGTCAAATGTACATAGTGCTGCTTTAAAACTATATTCACTTCTCCGCCAAAGTTCACTGATCTTTTAACAGCTTTTAATAAACATTTTCTCTCACAGGGTCAAAAATATCCTCTGTTTAATAATGATTTCAGCAGCCATTAGTAATTCATACATTTTCTTTATAATGATATATCATTTAATTGCTAAATAGTAAAGTACTGGCACAATCCAATAACAGCTGAAGTGGGTGTTTGGGGAAATTGACCAAATCACAAGTAGTTCAAGAAAAAATAATATTTCACAGTAATTTACTGAATGTTTGTCTATGGTCTGCAGCACTAAAAACATTAAAATACAAATGGTTTCAGATAATTGTTACCGCAGGAGTTGTGATTACACAGCAATGTTTTTAAAATGCTTTTGAAATCTTCATCATTTTCTCTGTAAGTTGCTGATGTCGTCCTGAAGGAACAGGACAATGAAACCGACCTTAAAGAGCATGTAGCTGGAGGACAGCGGCTCCACTGAATCTCCTGCAGATGGGTGGGACGGGGAGGATGAGGGCGGAAGGCCCAGACACTCCTCCAGCGTTCCACCTTCCTCCCCTCCTCTGTCTCCCCCCTGCGTCTCCTCGTCCTCCTCCTCCAGAAAGCCGGTCTCCAGAGCGGAGGGACCCAGGATTGGATCGGACTCGTTGAACATGTGGTGAGCAGGACTGGAGTGGTCTGTTCCGTCCCAGGGAGCCTGCAGGGACAGAGGTGGTGGATGAAAGAAAGATGGTCGTGCACACAAACATGGATGGAGGAAAAAGACAAGTACGTTTACGACCTCGGGAAAGTCCTTTGTGAAATAGTCAATTTGTAGTATGTCCAGACTCAAATAATATATAAATTGAAAAGTTTGTGGGAGTTAGATTTTGTGTTTTCATTGTTTGTTCGTTTGGAGAATACAAACCTGTAACTGGTCCAGCTCCACTGACGGCGCCATCAGCCCTGTTTCCTCTGACGAACCCTGCTCGCCTACAAGCACGTCACTCCTTAGTTTTGAATCCAGGTCTGTTCCGCCCACGCCGTACGAGTTGAGCATACTCTGACCTCCTGCAGCAGAGTTGAACGGGAAACCGTTGAGGGCATCTTTGGACGTTTTCCCTCCATGTAACGCATCTGCAGACATGGCGTCATGCTGCAGGGAACTCAGCTCCAGGGATTCATCCAAAGGGGGACAGTCAAGGAAATCTCCCCGTGACCCAGGCACCATTCCCAGGCTCGGTGAGGCAGAATCGTGGGCATCCAGCGGCGGAGGTTGGAGGTGAGGGTGAGAGGAAGAGGAAGAAGAGGACGAAGGAGAAGGAGCTGATGGAGGCATAATGTGATGCTGGTGGTGATGCTGGTGGTGGTGAGAGGACTGGTGGGGGTATTCAGGAGGCTGAGGGGAGTGACGACCGAGACCTGAGTCGTACAAGCAGCAGTGAGGATGCGGCAGCTGCGGATGCGACGAGGAGAAAGAAGAGGACGAGATCGACAAGCCAGGATGGTGAGAGTGATGGTAACTCTGAGGATGAAGGTGAGAGGGCTGTCTTTTGACGTAGTTCCTGTGAGCCTCCAGGAAGCTCAGCTGGGGGTCGTTGAGGATGTAGAAGTCGGTTCGACTCAAGCCGTGACGTGCCGCACCGATGAGGAGGTCGCGGTCGTGTTTGCCGGTCTCCCACCAGACCGGGAGGTAGAGGGAGGGGCGGCACAGCTGGAGGCGGGCGGAGAGTAACGGGTGACGGAGAACCTGAGAGGAGGAGGAAATTTAGAGAGCGTGAAGGTCGAATGTTTGAAAACCATTTCCACCAACGCGCTCTGAGTGATGCTAGTCTAGTAAAAGAAGTTAGTCATTTCTATTAAAGAGCTCACCTGCTCTCTGATTTTGCGGAGCAGCTCGATGCGATACAAAGTCCGGGCGGCTCTCTCCTCTGTCAGAGGCTCCACGAGCACTGCGGGATCCACCAGCCCTGCAGCGACATGAGAGGAAGGGGAGGGGGGAGTCAGACATTAGCACGGAGCAAGTTTTCTGAAGGTGATAAATTAACTCCATCACTGATGTTTGCATCAGAACTTTGCTCTCACATTCAGACAACGCATTAAATATAAATCATACCTTCTTCCTTCCTCAGAGGCAGCTTGCAGGCCGTCCTGCACATGTTGACGAAGGAGTTAAAGTATCTCTCCAAACTCTCGTCCGTCTTCCTCTCCAGTCGGGCCAGAGCTCTGAACTGAGACCAGTCGAAGGTTTTCCTCTCTGGGTCGTAGACCACCCCGTACGACGACACGGTGCGGTAGAAGTCCGCTTGCTCTCGACGAGTCCACCTGAGACGAGACAGAGGAGACAAAGAGAAAAGAAACAAGACTGAAACTCTGCATCAGAAATGTTTAACGAAAAAAAAAGACAGAAATGTTAAAGACAGAAAGTCGATTTCAAGTCTGCGAAAAAAGTCTTGCAATTGTTTTTTTGTAATCATATTATTTTCTCTCACATTATGGCCGGAATAAAAACTTCAGATATGCAGATCCAAACAAATAAGACTTAAACAAATATAAATTTAAACTCGATTCTGCAACACAACATTTGTATTTATCGGTTATTCTCGGCTTTAAATTTCCAGCATCATCACCTCCTCTGCCACTCCAGAAACAGAGGGTCCGGTTCTGTGGCGACAACGGAACACCTCCTCAGCTCTTCTCCCAGCTGCCACGCCAACGGTCCGCCAGCATGATGACTGTGAGAGGATCCGCCTCCTCCCATCCCCATGCCAACAAGGCCATCGTGAAGCAGGAAGTCGTGCCTGAGCAGTGGCTCGCGGCGCAGCGTGAACCGCTGGTAGGCGGTGATGAGGCGCCGCACACGAGCCGTCAAGGCTGGGCCCGTGGGCCAGAGAGGTCGAGCCTGGACCACGTGCAGAGCCGCCACACCCGTTCCTGTTCCCGTTGTTGTCGTGGTGACCAAAGGCCCATCCTGGACGCAGACATCAGTCAACATTTGGGAGTCTGTGAAGAGAGAGAGACATGTCGACGATAAAAAGTAGAACTGGCCTTTACCGCAGGACGGCTAGAAATTCCTAAAAAGATTTAGATCTCATTCTGATTTAATTCCGCTTGGATTTCGGACTTTAAACCAGAGGATCAATGAGCTGGGAAACTAAAATCAATCACAGCAGAGCACTGGGCCGTTATAACGTAATTTTCTCATCACAGAAAATCCCAAATATCCTCTTTTTTCAAATAAAAACGTTTTGAATATAAAAAAGACGGAAAGAGTTTGTAATAATTTCTCTCGAGCTCCTCCATTCACAGCAGAACACTGAGTACCTGACGTCTCACTGTCTCTTTCTCCAGAGTAACATTCAACAATTGGATGCTCATTAGATTTACCCACAGAGAGCGAACACTATTAAAACTATCAGAACTCATTTTGCACATTTGAGCCCCTGTGCTCTGCTTACAGGCGGTGAAATGAAGTCCTCAGCAGGTGAAATGGGTTTAGAAAGGAAGCATCAGGGGAAAGAACCTTTCGTACTAAATCAGAGATTTAGTTCAGAGGAGAGAAATGATATCACACTGTCTTAAAAAGGATGTCGGAGTCATGACAGGAAAAATATCCATGACTCACTGAAAATGATGCTTGAATCGTTTTTACGACCTGAAAATGTCAAAGCGCTAAACAGCCTTCGATCCCGGGGAGAGCGTCTGTATTTGTGTGTTTGTGTTCACGTGAACTCTGGAAAACAGCTTCTGAAGGATCGTAAACGTGAGGCTGCTCTTTTGTGTCTTCTACAGGAAATGTCTGAATACATCAGCAGCAACTGTTCAGCACAGCGAGTCTCACCTGGACCTGTACTGTCAGGTTTGTCCGAGGTATCAGTGCTGGAGCAGGTTTCTTCTCCCTGTCGATTAAAAATGCACAAAATTGTTTGGAATTAACACAACAGCAACAATTCTATCACACAACCACCCGACAGTCTTTTTTCTAAGACTGGATATTTTGTTCAAATCGATATCACGATATCAGCAGGGATATTTTAAATTAAACACAAATGTAGTTTACTTGTCTGTCTTGAAAGAGAGAATGAAACTCAGTGAGACTGCCTGATTACATAAAGAGTGAGTGAACGAGTGAGTGAGTGAAGGATCTTCCTCTTCACCTTGCTGCTCTCGTCTCTGTCCTCTCCTCCGTCAGCTTTGTTTTCAGCATCATCCTTCGCCTCCTCTGTTTTACAAACACTGAAAAGAAAAAAACAACAGACGAGAGAAAAAAGCTGAACTAACAGTGTTGTCTAAAGTCTTGATGAGCTCCGCAGGTGAATGTGTGAATAAGGAGAGAACAGGAAGCGAAAGTCTGAATCAAACCCGAGCCTCCACGGGAATTCCACAGGAGGAAAATCACTCTTCAAGAAGCACTGAGGAAAAGTGAAAGTTTTGTGTCACTCCCTCTGTGTGAATCCTTGTAACTTGTCCCTTCTCCTTGGTACGATTTAAATGTTCTCATCCTGCGGAGGAAACCTTCCTAAAGCTAACGTTTAGAGACGAGATGTTTCTGCAGAGCTCAGCTGGGAACTGCTCAGGATTGAGCAGGTAACAAAGCGAACGACAACTTCAGTTACCCTCGGGAAGACGGTCAAAGCTTCCTGTTCAAACACGTGCGTCTCATCTTCACAGCTCCGCCATCAGTCGATGGAGCAGCATCCAGAAAATGAATTTCCCCCCCCCGATGCGTTTACTCTCCTCTTTCTCTCTCGGTTATTCTCTCTGGCTTTTGTCAGTCAAGGAGTGAAAAGTGGTGGAAAATGACTTGAGTTGGCTGTTTTCACACGTCCTCCGAGGAAAAAGCTTTTAGAATTCAGTGGTCGACTGAGCGCTGTATCATTTTACACCTGCAGCTGTCAGAGTCTGTTCATCATTAAAACATGACCTGGTTGTTATTCTCAAAGTAAGGACCCCGATATCAGCCGCTGCATTAATGTTTGTATTTCTATGTGTTTTTAATCTGGTTCTTCACACCCAGGATGTAAAGCCTGCATGTGTGAGAGGAGGTGGCGGTGTCAACACAAACAAACACAGAGAGAACAAGATGTGTTTGTAACACCAGCGTTGGCCGCCGCTGCGCCCGTTACCACAGACGGTGAGGAACAGACGACAGGATGTGGATCCTGATGAAGATCAGCAGGTTTGATGTTCATGTGGGTCACCTCCATACAGACATCCCGAAGGTTTACTGAGTGTCAGGAGCAGGTGGAGGATACTGAAGTGGTCCCTGCTTCATCTCACTATCATTAACGATCTCTGCCAAAGCTCGTTGTGTTTAAGCCCCTGTCCGTTGATTTGTTTGTCAGAACAACACAAAAACGTCTGAACTTAGTTTTTTTTTTTAAAACACGGTAGAAGGATGGACCACGGGCCAAGAAAGAACTCAGTAACTTGGTTTACTACTGTAAATCAGATCTGGGACCATGTAGCTCAAAGAACAGATACACATTGCACTGAGAGTATAACACCATGGGTTGTGTGATACCTAGAACACGTGTGTACCCTACCTGTCGGTCATGTCTGCAGCCCCCTCTCCTCCACCCTGTTCAACTGTCAGCGCCGTGACATCTGGCATCCCCACCCTCTCCAGGAAACACAGCTCCGGATCAGCACGCATGGCGTTATACCGCTCATATCCTGTCCAAGAAAAAAAAATATGGATGACAATCAAAACACAGACAAAGACGTACTGATGTACACAACCACACACACACACACAGCAGAATATTCTGTTCCAGTTTTGCCGAGTGACCTGCTGACAATAATTTGGGTCTGAGTATACCGTGATGGTCTGATGCTGTAAAAGCTTAAAACACAAGATACATCTGGGTGAACGTCACACAAACACATGGACAACCTATGCCAGATGTGTTCCTTCCATGATTGTTCTCATCTGTGAGACAATGCATTTACAAAACATCTCGCTCCGCCTCCTCCGGCCCTCACCGTGTTTGTGGACTCCTATGAGGAGGGACTTGTCGGCGTCTGCGTCCCACCACGTCGCGGGGATCTCAATGTAGTCGATGTCTGGTAGCGACACCTCAAGTTTACTGTCGAAACACACACAGAAGAAACAGCACCACTGTCAGTGTCAGGTGTCACGATTTTTCTTTTCTTACAATAAGCAGCTTCTTACCTGGCAGGTATCCCCTCCAGAGCCTGATTGGCAGCCTCACCCAACACCTCCACCTTCAGGTAGTACAACATCCTCACCCTCAGCAGCACCCTGAGTACAGACAGGTGGAGAGAGACGGAGGGGAAGTCAAAGATTATTTTCTTGCTCTGAACGGTGGATCCCATCGACCATCGTCTGAAGATGAATTAACATCTAGGGGCAAAAGCCAATATATGTGTGTTCTCCCAGTGTAGTGCAGATATTCAGGCCAGGACTCCATCTTCTGCTCATCGTAACCTGTTCACAGTCTAGTTTCGTTATCACACACGTCAAAGGTCTGGAGTGAAACTTTTTGTTGATGTTTTAGGTTCAAATGATCTTTTGTCCACACGTTCTGTTTACCTGAGGGGATCTGAAACAAGAAACAAGAAACCAGAACCTCCCGGTTCCAAAATCTCATCCCTCACCTATAGAATCTGAATATTAATGTGCAGAATCTGTTTACAGAGATTATGTTTGTTCAGGTTTAGTTAATCCAGACGTGTGCGTGACGGTAAATTGTTCTACTGCTGCTTCTTCCTCATGTCTTCTCCCGTCATGTCTCTCTCTTGTCGTAATCTCTCCGCTCTTGTAATGAGAGTTCTTCTGTCAACAGGCTCTGTGAGAGCTGAATTAATTAAATGCCACCGCTCTGCCCTGCGACTGAACTGATATACAGGAGTAAACACTTCACGTGTAAACAGCTCCCAGCTTCAGGGTGAAATTAAAAGTCCTCAAGTGTCAATACGTTTAACAACCGCTCTGGTTCTTTTTCTGCCCTTAAAATTTGTGTTTTGCCGGAAGCTTTGTTGTACTGTTGTTGTCACGTTGAAGCCACCGGTAGTTTCAGCTTCAGTTATTCTGCAGCTCAGAAATTTTATTTATAATCCATCAGCTATAGCTTTTCCTTTTGAGGGCTGCAGCCAATCACCATCTAGGGACAAAATATATCCAAATAAGCCCAAACTGCATGTCGCTTGGACTGTAGTAGGAAGCTGGAGTACCCCGGAGAACATGCGAATTCCACATGGAGACCCCGAGCTGGGAATCGAACCAGGACAGTTCCAAACACTGTACCACTATGCCGCAAATAATGGCTGAAGGGGTTGTTTCTCTAGGACATTGCCACGTTTACAGAATTGCAGATGATTCCTGTCAATTGAAGTCGGTAAAACCGGTGGTTGACTGACTTGTTGCAGTGCTGTTTGAGGTGCTTCTTGTAGCTCTCGTCCTGCAGAACCACTTCAGGGTTACAGTGGACCAGCCAGTCAGCGTTCTTCACTTCAGGAATGTTCAGCTGATTCTTCAGCTTCTTCCCCTTCCGACCCCGAGGGACCGGAGCTGATAAACCTGCGACAAAGAGGAAAAGAAGGAGAAAAAAAAAAACGGGGAGTTAATTGCCGACAAAGGATTTTGGATGCACTGTCCGCTCTGACAATTTAATGAAAATAAGCACAGCAGCAAACAGAGTGGGAGGTTCTGAGGTGAAATCATTTTCCTCCTGCAAAGTTATTATCATTTAAATGAATAGATACAGTTAAAGTGGAACGCCAACAATTTTACACATTAAAGTCATTTAACAGGGGAGGAGGGAATCCAATAAATGAATATCATTACGCGCCTGAATCTCCAACCTAACTGTCAGTGGTTGCGCTGCATTCTGGGTAATGTAGGTGCTACCCTTTCGGCAAGAAAAGGAGGATGCAAGGAATGAAAAAGGTAAAACGTCTCTGAACCCTTTAATACCAGTTGAAACGGTTGGAACGTCCTGGGCTGACACGGTGTAACCGAAAAGTGAAATGCTAACCGGAGTGATTGAGCAGCGTCTGGTCCTGGCCCTCCTTGGTGGGTGTGATCAGATCCCAGATGAAGCTCTTGATCTTGTCGTCACCTTTGTAGTGTCTCAGACAGTAGACCAGCAGAGCTCTGCGGGACAAACGAGTGGGGGTTTTCCTTTCAACTTAGAAAAACCGTTGTGTTTGCAGGTATATGGTGTCAGGCGCTGCACTGCTGCCCTCGTTGCAGAATGTGTTCAAGGTAAAAACCTCAACAAATACGTGCTCTCCTTACCTGCAGATCACCTCCATATCTCTCTCTGCCAGGTGCCACTTGAAGCGACCGTGGTTTAGGACGTCCTTCCACCGACCCCAACTGGAAAAGACGGAGAGGAAAGAAAATATTTAGATAGACAGAGGAAATCTAAGAAACCCATAAATACACCAAGTTTATGTTTCAGTTCGAAACACAGTGAACTTTTTGCTCTGTTTTTATATTTGGCACATTTATGGTCAGAGCTGAGTTTGCATTTGAGAGCAACGCTGTAAACAAACGTTTATGAGTTCGCGAGCAGCTTTTTATTGGACCGTGAGTGAAGGTGTCATCCCTCGTGGTTCAGGCTGCGAGGTGTGAGGGATGAGTGTATTCAATATGCAGGCAGATGCACATTATTCTCCGTTCATACCCAAAGATCAGTAGATTCTTTTCGACCCGGAAACACTCAGCACGGAGGTAGCGTCGGCTGCGCTCGCCCAGGCGACGACTGCGACACGGCCGGTCCTCCGAGTCGCTTTCCAGCTCGGAGAACTCCATCAGCTCGTCATCCTCGAAGGAGTTGTAGTGACGGGTCTGTTTCCTCACCCGAGGCGTGTCGATCACCAGGGACTCCTGCGTCAGAGAGAAAACATTCATCTGAATCAGACAAAGTTTATGAAGTTTATAAAAAATCTCTGGTTGTATTCACAGGAAAAGGACGAGATGTAAAGTACTTCTGTTCACTGTGGGTCAATAATTAGGGCGTAAAGGCTTCAAGTCCCAAGCAACGCACACACACACAGAATAATGAATATTCTGCTTTATGAGGAGGAGAGGAGGAGGAGAGGAGGAGGAGAGGGGAGGAATACTGACAGACAGGGTGAGACGTTCTCTAGTATCACAAAGACGTCAACATGGTCGATATTTTAAGGGTAAAGAAGCTTTGATCCTTCTGGTTTTTGTTTGTGTATAAATGGACCGTATGGATTTATGGATTTATTTATGCAGAATATCTCCTGCTCTTCTTTATACCTTCTCGGATTTGGAGTCGATCTCCACTTCAGCGATCTTGGCCCATTTCTGCCAGAAGTTGGGGTCGTCCAGAGAAATGTCCGTTCTGTTTCCAGATGAGGTGAAACTGGCCTGAGAAAGGGAAAAATTAAAAAGAGTCAGATCCTGGTTTTGTTTAGAGCCACTCAAAAGAGTTTCACACAAGTATTTAGTATCTGAACATTTGATCTTGAGGCCAAAACTAAAGTTTTCAGTGTTGCCTCCACTGGAAATATCAGTTTAAATTCCAGTATTTCCGAAGTTTGGTGTTTCTACCTTAGCGAATGTGGAGCCTTTCCCCTCAGTCTGGATGGTGATGGTCTGAGTTCGTCTTTGAAGAATCTGATCAATGTCTTCCTCGCAGAACTTGGAGCCCTCGTCTTCTTCGTCCATCAGGGCCCCATACGCTCCTTTTTTCAACAAGTCCTCCAGCTCCAGTTTTGAAAGCTGCTGCACCTGGAGAAACACACTCACACATTAGGATTCACGTTCTTTGATTACCCAATCCCCAAAACGGGTAAAGCTAAAACTGGTCTCTCACCCCGTTGAGGCTTCCTTTACGGTTTATATCTTGGAGAACAGCTTTATCCAGTCCGAGCTTCAGACTGGCCTTGTCGAACATTTCCCTCTCGTACGAGTTCCTGGTGATCAGTCTGTAGACTTTCACCGCTTTGCTCTGGCCAATCCGGTGACAGCGTGCCTGAGCCTGGGACAAGAAACAAGACATGAGAGAGAACATTTATTCTACAGTGACTGTTCTTGCAGTTTGATTTTTAAATGCTTTGAGATGAGATGATGATGAGATATAGTTATTATTAAGTGTGATAGAGATAAACGCTCAAACTAAATCTAGTTATTCCAGAAATCTCAATCGGTCTTTTGCAGACGATTCTATTATATCTATTAATTTCTGTTCCCTTGAAAATCTTCAGCAAACAAATGACTGAATTTCTTTGTCAGGATTTAACAGCGAGCGTCTCAGTGATGAACTCATCCTGCGGTTTAATCAGTGACCAATCAGACATGTAACAACAAACAAGGCTGAAAGCGAATCAGAAATGTTCTGTTTAGGTGACAGCCGACAAGATAAGGAAACATGCATTGCATCCAAACTGCGGGGGAGCCTCATTCTGGCTGTCAGGTAACACTGTGCACTCACTTCATTATTCAAGACAGAGTCGCTCTTTGAAGCACGCGTTTTATCACCTGCTGCAGTCCCAGAAGGCAATACAAATGCCACTACATATTAAAGAGCGAAGACAAGCAGCAGCTTAGCGCAGTGAAAAAGGATCGAGCGTGAATTAGAGAGATGTTCTCTGTTTTTTCATGTTCTGACAGCAGAGAATAATTTATTCGTCAGATGATATTCTCATCTGCGCGGCTTTGGGCTTTTATCCACGAACCGTCGTTACATCTGCGGCCGGGTCGTCGTGCTCACCTGCAAGTCGTTCTGCGGGTTCCAGTCTGAGTCGAAGATGATGCAGGTGTCTGCGGCCGTCAGGTTGATTCCCAGCCCCCCAGCTCTGGTGCAGAGCAGGAAGACGAAGCGGTCCGAGTCGGGCTTACAGAACCTGTCGATGGCCGCCTGCCGCAGGTTCCCTCGCACACGGCCGTCGATGCGCTCATACGTGTAGCTGGAGAAAACACACGCATTCAATTTCTCTTTTCCAACAACTGTTGCATCACATCTTTCTCTCACAAACCTCGATTCTAAACTTTGCCCTTGTTTTTCCTCCCACACGTTTCCTTCGCTCATTCTCTCTCTCCTCACCGTCTCTGGATGAGGTAGTCCTCCAGGATGTCCAGACAGCGGACCATCTGTGAGAAGACCAGGACTTTGTGTCCCCCGGCCAGCAGTTTGGGCAGCAGCTTGTCAATCAGCACCAGTTTTCCGGCCGCCTGGATCATCGCCTGCAGCTGGAAGTCCAGCGCGTCCGGACTGTGGCTCTTCCTGAAACTTTCCAGAATCTTCTCTTCAGCTCCTGAAAAAAAGACGATTAAAAAAAAAAGAGACTTTAAGAAACTTCTTTCTTTTACTCAAGCTATATGTGTGTGTGTGTGTGTGTGTGTGTGTGTTCTGACCTGTGATAAGGTAGGGGTGGTTGCAGCACTTGCGGAGCTCCATCATGGTGTTAATGAGGTTGGGCATATTGTGCTGGTTCGCTCCTTTGGACAGGAAGGAGAAGTTCTTCTCTAAGATCGCTCTGTAGTATTTCTTTTGAATGTTGGTCAACTCCACCTGCGACAACAAAAACACAAGAGTCAGACATTATAACTTCCGCTGTTTTGTTTTCACATCATGTTTCTTTCAACCCACCGCCTGCTAATTTAGCAGCACGATAAATCGTGAACTGTGTTTAAGTTTCCGTTGTCGACAACAATAATCAATGATCTCATCCTGCTCGGTAACCTGGAGCGAGCTCGAACACATAACACGCAAGCAAACACATTCAGATTCACACCTTCAGGCGATTTTCTGTTTCTAATTCATGTGTTTGAACCATGAGGGAATAAAAAGGACACGACGGCCTCAGCTGAATCAGGTGGATCTGAAAAGTTGGCTATTTTTCGCTCATATAAACTTTTTTCTAAAATCATTTTAATTATCTCACAATTGAATTTTAATTTAATTCAGAATTGAGTTGTGATTAAAGAGAATAATAAAGACCAAAGGCCAATAATTCTGATAGAAAGTCGTCTCATTACTGAACTCATTAATGAAGCTTTCGTCGTGATTTTGTGGCTGAATAATTTAATTAGGCCAAAAAAGGAGGAAGTGATATCGAGAGCTTAATGTTACTTAAAGATAGATACAGTAGAATTATGAGACGCCGATGAAAATCATTTGATGCATGGAGCATTTGGGTTTTAGGAAATCTTTACCTCTATGATGGTCTCTTCTTTGGGTGCCAGGTTTTTTTCTACATCGTCTTTAAGTCTTCGTAACATCATCGGCTTCAAAATGGCCTGAAGCTTCTTCACCTGTTGGAGAAAACAAGCGATGGGTGAGTTTGGCATGAACACAAACGAGACATTATCTTCTCTTGTCTGGAAAGTTTATTTAAAAAGCACATTTAAAACATTTCACATTATGACTGAATACCAATACAACTGTTTTTGCAAAGGTTTGAGACTCTTCTTATAATTTTTTTATAAAGTGTCATGAAAACAGTTTTCTGGACGAACCTGTTCTTCTGTTTTGAGGTCTCCAAACTCCTCCAGGAAGCTGCTTTCTGAGGGAAACTGCAGCGGCTCCAAGAAGTTCAACAGACTGAACAGTTCCTCCACAGAGTTCTGCAGAGGGGTTCCTGTGAGCAGAACCTTGTGTTCCTGTGGGAAACATCAACAGGAATATATCTTTCTTTAAAAACATGACACATTCATCCAAATGTTGAGTAAATGGAAAGTAAATCAGTCGATAGAAAATATAAATGAATGTCCGTTTCTCTACACTAGGATTTTTAGAATATAGGAGTTGGTTTGTTGAGATTCCCTTTTTTTAATTTGGTGTTTCCATTCTGTTGTTTTTACGCAGTGTAACAGAGAAGATCTGCTCCCACAGCTCCAGACTGACCAGGTTCATGAGTTTGAGTCCCTCCAGCAGTTTGCAGTTCCTGTTCTTCAGTCGATGGGCTTCGTCGATCACCACACAGCGCCAGTGCAGCTTCCTCAGCTCCGGACAATCAGCCATGATCATCTCAAAGGTGGTGATCAACCCGTGAAACTTCAGCACGCCAGGGATACTGTTGCCCTGCGGACGAGAGAGAGGGTGACAATGACAAACGTTAAAAAATGATCACATGGGAAGTTTATCGAGGATGACTAAAATCAGAAAGACAAATTAAGACTTCTTTTGTTTTATGACATTGTAATGATAATCATATTCTGCATTCATCTGAGACTGGACGTAAATAGTTTCTTTCTTGACCCTTCGATCAACTTTCAAGAAACTTTTTTGGCAGAGGTAATTAATTAAACACAATTATTAAGGATTATGTGTGAAATCTAAGGAGTTAAAGATTAAACAGTAAGAATTCATAAGGAACTAAACTCAAAAACTTCCTCTAAAGAATCCAGCAACAGCTTAATGTCAAGAATTTGGAGGACGCTCACTTTTTGTCCTTCAGAGGACTGAATAGAAATAAAACAGAAGTCAGACATTTACACCTCCTACCCTCAGCTGACTCATCACTGTGTGACGGATTAGATGCCACGACCGCTGCACACACACTGATACAAATACACAAACCTGCGCGTCTCTGTGAAACATCTCGTACTGCATGATCATCTGACGGCTGATCTGCGAGCCGTGATACACGATGACGTTCATGTTCGTCCACGTGCGGAACTCTCTCTCCCAGTTGGTGATGGTGGACAGCGGCGCGATGATGAGGAAGGGGCCGCGGATCCCCATGTTGAAGATCTCAAACAGAAAGGTGATGGACTGGATGGTCTTTCCCAAACCCATTTCATCAGCCAGGATACAGTTTTTTCTAAGTAAGAAAAGAAAAAGTGTGAGGGAGCGAGAGGAGGTGGAGGGAGGAGACGTACACTAAGACACAGCTCAAAATGTTGTGTCCTCACCTGTTGTACCAGTTGAACAGTAACCAGTTCATTCCCTCTAGCTGATATTCTCTGAGCTGGTTTCCATTCCTGTAATCTCTCGACTTGTCCAGCTTCTGCCACTTCTCTGGAGAAGGTCGTTCCTGTGACACGAACAGATAATATTGTTATTTCTTGTTGTTCTACGTGATAATGTTTCTTTATCTCAACTGAATCATTCACACGATTTAGATATTATCCAATAAAAGACCCAGACAATCTGCTGCTGCTTGGGTTTCACTCCTGCATTTCTCAAGTTTTATTTAACTTCAAGAAAAACACACGACTCTAACAGACCTAGCGTCTCTGTCCCGCTCATATCAAAATGGCCTCTCCTGTTCCTTCGTGTCTGGGCTTCGGAGAGACGCCCACACTGAGCAGTGAAGCACAGATGTGCAGACGACTGTGGGTCAGAGAGCAGCAGATGTTTTACATGAATTTGATGGAGAGGGGTTTTCAAAAGCTCGCTTCTAAAAACAAACACGAGAGCCGACGGTGCGGATGTCCCGCTTGAAAAGGAAGTAAATCTCACTGCTTTGTGTTTGGACTCATTAACACCACAAACAAAAAAACAAGGCCCAGCGTTTGAATCTGAGGGAAACTGTTCGTGGAGATTGCTGTTTCTTATTTTCTCTGATTTGCAGAGAATTCAAGATGTCTGAATCCGCACCCTTCTTCGCCACATCTCTGCAAATATTCAAGCAGGTCTGGAGGTGTGATGTTTCACAGCAGTTTCAGAAAAGTTATCAATCCAATCAGGGCTTAGTGAGCAACTACAGAATAAGTCATATTTAACCACCTCCTGGTGTGTCTGTACTCACCATGTGTCGGAGGTCTGCCGGCAGCTTCTGGATGTGCTCAAACTCTTTCACCTTCTCTGGATCCAAGTCCTCCTGCAGCTCCCACGTCGCCTCCTCGTATGACAGGCTGCACCATTTAACCAGGTAATGCGTCACCTCCTAATAACAACACACAGGAAAACATGGCATTAGAGTGTGACTGTGTCAACACAAGTTTTAATATGCATCGCTGTCGCTATGTTTTCGTGTCCAAACAATTTTCAAGCCCCTAAAACGGAGAAATTTGGAAACAGCTGTCCATATTTTAATTTGCGTTTGCGCCGGCATAGGAGACATTTGGAAATTACCCACAATTACTTCCTGATTGGTTCTTCTCAGTCACATGGCTCAACTACCAGCTGCGAATTCAAAGCGCTGCTTATTGTCAGTAACGGTTCCAACTCATCGTTGCTCCAAGAAAAACAATTTCTCCTTTTACATTTCACCACTGCTGTTTCTCGTTGTGTACTGCGAAGTACACAATCTTCTTCCTGTTTACGCCACATGATCAGTGAGCACATGAATGATCATGTGACGTGTGTTTTCAGGTGTGTTAGTCTGATGCAGAAGTAAACACGGAGCTTGTCTGCACCAAAACATTAATAAGGACTCTCAGTGAAAACTGATTTAACACCAGATGACGACTGTTGAGTGTGTGTGTGTCTGTGTTTGTGCATTACCCACCTCTCCAGTCTCAGTATCAGTGGTAACAGCCACCTCCAGAACTCTGTCCACCTCTACATAGTCCGGGTTGAATAAATCTTCATCAGGCTGAGAGAGAGAGAGAAAAAGACAGAAATCGATTACAGATTTTTACTGTTAAGCAGGTCAGAGATTATTGTGATCAGAAATTACAATTAACATTATTACATAATTAACACAGTTTATCCCTATTTTAATTAATCAACTGCAATCAATCAAATTTGATTTGTAGAGCCCATATTTACAAATCACTATTTGTCTCATAGATCTTAACAAGGACATCCTCTGTTCTTAACCCTCCACAAGAGCAAAACTACCAACAGCACCATTCATTTCTAATAATCACAGAAATCAAGGCACATTTAATTTCACCTAATCTCCAATGAAAGTCACAAAAAAGGGTTGATGATAGAACAAGAAATGTTATCCATCAATCCAGACCGGCGGGGTAGACGATGATGACGGTGAGCGTTACCTCGGTGAACAGATGTTTCATCTGGGCCTGTTTGGTCCTGAAGCGTTTAATCTTCTGGTGGATTCTAGGATCTTTCTCCAGCTCCTCCAGCGTGGCCCATTTACAGTGTAGGTAGGAACTAAAAAATACATCATAAATAAATAAAGGTCTTTATAATCACCACGGCTTCATCATGGGCACACAAGGTTAGCATCACCATTTCAGTATCCAACCAAATGTAAAATATGGTCACCATCCCTTTGTTCCATAGATGTGGTGTTGATTAACATCCAAAAAATGATGTCAAGGTGAATTTGATCTTTTCGAAATTAAATGTCAGTTTATCCATTAAATATTTGTGTAACATTGTGTAGTAATGGGAACATGAATTCATGAGTCAGGGCCATAAAAACATGTTTTGTTGGGGTTAATAACTCAAGGTCAAACTGTTTCTGCCACATTTGTAGAATTTTCCCTCAAGGTGTTTCTGAGATTTTAAATTTAGGAGAGGATTTAGATTTTAAACTTAATGCCTCTGGAGTCATACAACTTTCCTGTCCCCACAATCAACTTGTTATAAAGCTGCGTGCATGGGGGAGGAAAGACTGTCAAACCAAGGGATGAGCACAAGTCACAAAATGATGCAGTGATTTATGCACTCCAAATAATTATTTGATATTTAATAAAAAGCCTAAAAAACGTGTCGGAGGTACAAGTCAAGAGTGACATTTTTGATACCCGTGGATAAAATATACGCCAAAATGGTATAACATTCACTAATCAGGTCATGGGAATTAAACAAGCTGCAGTGGCATTTAGAAAAAAGTCCAGATTTAAACAGTCATGAATGACTTACTAACTCTCAAATGTCTATTTAATTCATTTATTCATTTATTTATTATGACTTATATTACACATTTAGCTCAATGCAACATTAGAGCTCTTTTATTATATTTAATTGTGGTATTGCTTTTGTAGATGTCTGTAACTTGCTGTCTTCTTTGACTTGCCCTGAACCAAATTTACTTGGGTATTGATTTAGTTGTATTGTTTTGTGTTGTATAAATTTGCACTGAGCAGAACCAGTTTTTTGTGTGTTTCCTCTAATACAAGAGGTTGAACGGGTTTAGTGTCTATGAACAGACCCCGCGTTGTTTTTTAACGAGCAGGAGCCGTGATGTTCATTCTTTCCTTCTGAGTCTAACATGATGGGGAAAAACGAGGATGTCCCTCGTCCCTCTTAGTGATTCACTCACTGACACATTGTTCTCTAATCGTTACTCTCTGCTAAGGAAAGCGGTACAAATGCGGTTACTATGGCTACGGTTTGACAAGCACAATTAAATCCATAAACCAGGATCTATATGTGGAGAAATGTAAATGTCACTGCAGCGTTCGGTGTCGTACTGCACCATGCACTGACTAAACTGTCTATGCAGATAACTTCTGCATCTGAATTATGTATAATAATGATTTTCACACTACAAATATTACACTTTTCCGTAACTCTTTAATTTGTGAATACATTATTCTGAATCAAGTGAAGCATTCACATCCAGTCAGACTGAATTAACTGCAGGCGAATCTGCCATGTGTTATTCATCACCCATGAGAATAATTTACGATCACAAGAACGACTGTACGTCTTTGGAAGACCTCTCTTAAAGATACAAAAAGCAGGAATGAACAGGCAGCTCTCCAGAGAACCCTCGGACTGACTTGGCGAACTGAGTCTCGGTGAGACGATGAATAACTCTCCGGTCTCCCTCAAGAGCTGCGTGCGGCTGAGACGCACCAGCACTTAACTGGCTCTGGAGAAAAGAACCGCTGCTGAAAAACCGTGCGTGTGTAAAAAATGTGCCTGGAAAACGATAAATTAAACAGCTCGAACAAAGTGAAGACTCTGCTGATATGTTTGCATCAGTTGTGACATTTAACACCTCAGAGGCTGCATGTGAAGCACTTCTTCTTGGTCTACCAGGGATGAGTTGATCATGTACGTAAATGGAGATGAGTGAGGTGATAAGACTAAAGAGGCAGCTCCTGAGGTCTCAGCTTTAGAGGAGTTTACATGTCGCCCTCAAGGTGAACTCAAGTTCGAGCTCTGTGCTACAGATGCACAGATACCGACATCCAGGCATTGGCTAAGCTGTCGTACTCCAACCAAAAGGTCGGCAGCTCGAATCCCAGCTCACGCTGAATTGTTTTGGGCCAGACGCTGAACCTGGAATGGCCCCTTACAGATGTTGAAAGCACTAATTAGAAGTCACTTTGGATAAAAGCGTTGGCTAAAAGTCATGTAATGTAAATAAGGAAAATAACCCACTTCCAGCACACTGTATTAAAACAAAGCTCTCAGAGGGTCAGCTTAATAAGTACATGTGAAACTGAAACTCACAAATTTCTGTACTTGACGTAAAACTCCTCAGTCTCCTCCACTTGGTCCTCTGAGGGTGAGGTCTGAGGACAAAGAGAGACAAGATTGAAGTGAAGCGGGCGGGTTCAGAAATAAAAACACAAAAATATAAGTATTATCAATAAAAATAAATATTCCATTCGTGAAAGTGCATCCATAAGATTGTGAGTCTAAGGCGGCGTCCCAATTCAAGGGCTGCATCCTTCGGGCGGCTGCATTTGAAGAGCGACTGTGTCACCGCAGCACGACCGGTGAGGACCGGCTCCTTCAAACGTTTCCTCCCGTGCACCAGCAAGAGCGGCTCCAACCGGTGGATCCTCACCAGACTACCCTATCCCAGAAATTATTATGTGCTGGTGATGAAGCTAACCAGCTAGCGAGCAAGCTAGTCTCATTCCTCTCAGGACACGGCCTCTTAATTAGAACACAGTGTATATTTGCATGTGGTTTTTTTTTCCCCTTCACCTCTTTCTTCGCCGTTCTGACGGACAGAATTTTCTCAATGATGTTGGCCTCGTCCTCAGGTGGTTCCTGAGGGAGAGAGAGAGAGGGACAGGAAACGTGACACAGATGAAGGTCAGTTCACAGAGTTTCTGCCCATTCATCAGCAACAAAGACTTCAAAAGGCGCGTTACACAAAATTACGAAGAATTTATCAAACTGTTCGTGACAGTTTGTATCAATGGACATTACAGAGTATTACAAAGTCTTAATATAATAATAAATTGTACATGATGGCTGTTAGAGTTCTTACACAAGACTGACAGCACGATACAAATGTCCAAAATCTTGTATCGTGAACATAGAACTCCAACTCCCCTGCTGCAGGTAGAGTCTGTTGATGTCTTACTGCTTTACAATTTCAAAATAAACTACTTTTCTTTTACTTAGCTCATAAATGTATATACTACACACTGCACCCACTGTCACATGACTTCAGTTGTATTTTTGAGTCCGGCTGAGCCTTTAAATCTGTATCAAGAATTATCTCCGTCCAGATACAACGGTTTTGACACAGAAAATAGATTGTCGACTCCGCAGTTGGTTGCTTAGTAACTAAAAATACCATAAACGAGGAACGGCGATGGTGAAAAGCGAAAGCAGGGATTTTTTAGTCAGGTCATTACGTCATGGCCGACGAACACTTTCTGTTTTCGCCTGCGCGGACTTAAAACCAACCTGAGTTTTCAAACTAAAATGGGACCAGCAGCGTTGAGTTTTCAGCACATGAACATCCTGCAGCAGTTTGGATTTCTCGTGAATCCTTAGATCGCATTAAGAGGCTCCAGGAATATCTAGGCCAGCAGTGTGGGAACATTTTCTTATGCACCCTCCCTTTAAGGTCTGAAGCAAACCATGGATTTGGAGATTTGCTGCCGATATGAATGTGAAGCATAATTCAACACCTGGATATTATTCTAATTTTACTTTGCGCATTTTAAACCTAAGACGAAGCAACAATAAACCAAAAGTGGGGGTGTGTCCATCCCTACCTCTGCCTGCCACGCCAGAGCAGTGGCATTGAGCGCTGAGATGCGACCGGCTCCGAGGACAGCGATCGTCTCTCCGTCATCATCCACCACCTTAAAGTCCAAATCCTCGTTGTACTTCCTCCTCTTGACTTGTCGCCCTGAACGCCGTTTCTAAAGGATTAGACGGAAGATACACATCACGGTGAGAGGGAGGAAAGTGAGATTAGAGAGAAGAATTGAGGCGTCAGAGTGAAGGAAGACGGATAAAAGAAGAGTTAGGAAGACAATCCAGTACTAGAAGAATAGAGGAAAACACGGCATGAGATATTGGGGTGAAGTGAGGGGGAAGTGAGAGAATGGAGGGAGGGAAAGAGGAGGTGAGACGTAAAAGGAAAAGTACAGATAATAAAGGGAAAGTGCAATGAGTGTGAGGTGAAGGTAGGAGAGAGGGAAGGAAGGCAAAAGGAATGAATGAGTGACAGGAGGATGAGCAAGAAACAAAAAGGAAACGATTTGCTGCTACAGAGAAATCATATGTCATGATAATAATAATAATAATAATAATAATAATAATAACATTCAGGAACATAATGGTTAAAGTTTGGAGTCATTTTGTTTATGTTTGCTCAACACAGAACAAGGAACCTCTGCATGAACTCCTTGTGTTTCCACCACAGGGACCCTGGATCTAAATTTCATTTTATGTAAATATTTTACCCCCCAAATAAATCCCTGCTTAAGAGTAGTACTTTACAAAAGTACTGAAACCTTTGGGTGGGGCTTGCAGTGCTAAACATTTTATTTTCATCCACCATTTTTAAAAAACCTGTATAACCTGTATAGCTACATAAACAGATTTTGTCCATTGTTCTTCAAGACAGCGACATTATGGACCGACGACAAAGTCCAAACAACCGCACCACAAAATCAAACTGAATAAATGTTAAATAAGTTCCTGGGACTAAAAGTTCTTTTGGTCGAATCACGTCTTATGTAAGATAATGAAAAAAGGTGTAGCAGCTGTCGGATGAGATGTTCAATTTAAACAACTGTGATTGTCTCATACATATCAAAACATTTCAGGTGAGATCTCGCCCACAGTTTTAAATCCATTCGGCAGTGCTCATCATTTTTAAACACTAAAGCACGACACGATGAATGAGGCTGCTCCCTCCCCGTTAGTCATTCTGTGCCATTCTCTCTTTCCCCTCACCGCAATATCCAGGGGGTCTTGGCTGTCCTCTCCGCCCATGTTGAGGGCTGACATTGAGGTAGTGTCGTCACTCTCCGCCCCCTCCTGGACAGCCACTTCCTGGTTTCTCCTCTTCCCCTTCTTCTTCTTTTCCACGGGCGCTGCGCCAGGATCTCTGAGAGAGAGAGAGGAGGAATTCTGATGAGTAATTAGCAGCATGAGGAGCCTGCAGCAGCGTATTCACTGGAAAGCGAACTGATCCCGAAAGGATTCACAGAGCGCTGGTTAAGATAGGTACATGTGGCATGAATATTTTATCCTCCCTTTCTCACAATCAGACTTGGGGCCATCACTTCGTGAGGAGCAAGACAAAGGACAACGCTGCAGACCAAGACGCTGCTTGTTTAAAGAGATACTTCAATGTGGTTGTTAGGCTGCAAACTAAATTGTAAGACGGTTGTCCGATGAACACACTAATGCTGGTTTTACACAAACCATAGCCACCAGAGACCGCTCGTGAGTGTGAATCTGGAAAGCTGCGCTCGTTTTTCGAATCTAAGCTGAAATGAAACCTTTAAGCCACCACATCGTGGTCCATTGAGAGACAGTCTATGGTTCATGAAGCACAAATATATCTTCTCACACCTGTGAGTCGTCTCCAAGTAGTAAATGTGTAGTACAGGAAAACTTGTGGCCTGAGCTGCTCGGTTTGTCCCGTCCACCTCTGACTTTACAGTACAACTACCAGTCCCTGAGAAGTCGTATTCTTCTTTTTAAAGATGCAGCTGGGGCGTAAGCTGCACACAGAGGCTGGTGAATTTAGGACTGTGCTGGCTCCTGAGGTCAGAGGAGCAAAACAAGATTCATCTCTGCACACACTTAATGGTTTTCTCTCTCTCTCTCTCTCTCTCTGTAAAACTCTGGAGTGAGCGGCGGACGAAGACAAAGACAAAGCCGCACATTCAGATGGAATCAAAACTGCACCCACGCAAGGATTTTCTAAATCTTCTTGTGACTGTTGTTACATGAACAAAGCACGACTTGAAACCAGAGCTTGACCTGGAAATGACCCCAAGTTAGTGGAGTTCACAAGTTCTCACGTCAACGGATCAGTCTGTCCTCCTCTTGTCCCGTCTTATCTGTCTCTTTTCCATCATTTCATTACCTCTGCTGCTTCTCATCTCCCTCATCACAGTGGTGATAATCTTTTCTCACAATTACCTCCATCCCTTTTCTGTTCTTGTCAATGTCTTTACACTCATCTGTAACTTTTCTGTCTCTTTTCAGTCTATTGCTTTTCTTAGCTGCACATCAGTGACTCATCTCCTCTTCATTTTCAAAATCTTCCCCTCGAATCATACAATTCTACTTATATCTCTCTACTTCTGTCTGAGAACACAGATTCTCTCTCATCAGTCTCCTCCTGTTATATTACAGATTCACAACCCTGCGTCTTTTCTGCTCTTTTTGATGAAGTCACCTGGAAATAATAGACCCGCAGCCACAGCACACTTGTTTCCTGCTGTCCTGTCCAGATATACTGCTCTAGAAATGATGTTATTCCTGGGGAGCTGAGGATGTCTGGTGCTTATGATGTTCGTATGCTTAAGAATCATATTCAAAATTATTCATGGAAATTTCCAATCAGAGGATTTAGAAAAGTGTTCAGGCTCCTTCAGCTTTAGCACACATCATATGACTTATTTTAGCTCGCCTCCACCAAGGCCCAACAGTTGCACACACTCATGTCAGTTCCCTGTATACGTCTAATTATTTTCATCGAGATCAATGAATTGAACATTTTTTCAAAGAAAGTGATTAAAAACATTCCTGGATCTGCCCTTTTGGACGAATCAAACAAACGAACCAAAAAAACAAACCAACGAACACGCCCCAAAACATTTTTTTTTGCTGAGGTAATAATAATTGAATTAGAATGCCATTCAGTAGAGTGTGCACCTCCCCTGAGTCTCTTAAATCCAATCAAGCTGCACCTAATTACACTCATCAGTCTGTTAAATATACTTGATTGTGGTCAGGTGCATCCTGTTTTGACTCTTCACATGTATCTACAGTTTGAAAAGTTTGGATTGATCAGACATGAGTAAGGCACACACCCATGTATACAAGTTCCAAAGATTCACACTGTATTTCCAAGTCATGAACTCTGAGTATATACTTTATTCATCCCACAACGGGGAAGTTTACTGAAATTGTGGTGAGGCAGAGATCCTGACCAGAGAATAAAACCATTTCTACAGCTGAGTGTTTCACAGAGCCTCAAGAAATGTGAGATGCAACCAGAACATAAGAGTCGGACATACAGCCAAACTGATTTAAAAACTCCAAGCACCATTAAAGTTGTATTAATACAAACAATGCAAAATCCCCATTTGTTCATCCATCACATGCAACATCTCACATTCAAATTCAACTACATTTGGGGAGCAGATTAATTCTAGGACATTTACAAAATCATAAAACTCAAGCTTCACTCTAAAGCCTCATTTTGCAAAAGTGCTAATATATCTATGTTGACCTGGAACTAAAGTGTCCAAGAGAATAATTGCACATTTTGTTGAGGACGAAAGTTTTGCTGCAGCTTCGCTCTCTTTACTCCATCAGTGTCTGCTTCTGTGGCTTTTCAAGCACAGCATCTCCACTTTCTTTCATTTAAATGATTTCTCTTTCTTGCCTCTGCTCATTATTTTCAGTCAGAATCACTCACCTGGGTTTGCGGCCCCTCTGTTTGGGTGCTGAGGGGACTGGGGTCTTGCTGTTGGCCTGGCCGTGGTTCTTGGCATGGGTGCCGTGGATTTGCACCGGGACCTTAGCATGGAGTCTTGAAGGAGGAGCTGCTGGAGGAGAAGGGATTGGAAAACATAAAGAGGACATGGGTCACATAATGGAGCTCAAGAAAAATCAGTTTAAGGCTTTATGGCTTTAGTCATTCTTGACTTAGATCTGCATTACCCATCACTGCTCCATTATACCAACTAACGCTGACCAAATACAGACAATCCACTTCTCTAGGGGACAGAGGCAACTTTTCTCAAGTCACTAGTGGAGCAATCTGTCCTCCTTGAAGTGCAGTATATGTATGTATATATATATATATATACATATATATATATATATACACATATATACTATAGAGTAGAGCCAAAGGATAGTCCCAGTTGTATATCTAATAAGTACCTATTAGACGTACAGTTTGTGTGTGACAATGTTTTTGGCAAAGTATTCTGCAGGACTTCATTTTGTTCATCAGGTCACAGTCTTACGCACAACAACTAGCAACAGCGATAAACAAGGAGGCATCAACTCCTTTTTTGGTTTTAAGTGCATGTGTGTACGGCTGATTACAACGACAACAATTTAAATGTAAAAAAAAACATTAACATTTTCTGAATTTATATATTTCTAAAGACATTCAGCATCATCTCCTCAAGGAGAAGCATCTTCACACAGGCATTGGTGAAATGTTTTGATTCTTAAAAGAAATTGGTGTTGAGCTTAATGCACCCACCCACCCGCCCCCACACCAACCAGCACACTCACTCCTTTATTAAATCGAAAAATCACATAATAAAAACTCATTTATCCAGACATGTCTTAACGTGATTTCAACAAATTTAAGAACAGAACAGTCGTCATCTGTGTCTCCAATTAGAGTTTGAAATGTTCCGGGTTTGTTCCCTCATGGTTGAACGCACTTATTTTTGTCGCTTTGGATAAAAGCATCAGCTAAATGAAATGTAATGTTCCACCTTCAACAGTCGACACGCTTCACTCTTTATTTGGTCGCTTATTCAACACAGCACAACAACACACAGACACACACCTGATGTACTAAGGAAAGTCATAATAAATGAGATGTACCAGATATTCAAAGCTTGATCGATCTGCATTTAAAGCGACAAACAATTGTTCACATCACTACGGCCATGTCTATATATCTGTTTTTAAAACGAGTGTTGAATCCTTTTAATACCCAGGACACACAGATCTATAAGTTAAATAAAGAGCTGGAAGAATAATAATTGATTGACTAATTACTTGGAAGATGACGTTACCTTGATTTGTCGGAACAGGAGGAAGGATCTTGACTTTCGGTTTCCTCCCCCTCCTTCCAGGCACCTTAACCGGCACTTGAGCTGCTCCGGCAGCCACAGCGGCCATTTTTCCTGCCGGAACATTCTTCAGGTCTGCCCCGCTCTCCTTCCTGCCCTCCTTCCCCTTGCTCCTGCGCTCCCTCCGCTCTTTGCCTTCCTTGGGCTCCTTGCTCTTCCTCAGCGTGACCACCATCGCCGCCTTCTCATCTTTTCGTTTCTTTGGTTTGCTGCTTTCCCTTTCCTCAACGTCCCCTCGCTCCCATTGTCTCTTGTCCTTTTTCTTTCGTTTCTTCTTCACCCTGCCTCCGCCTCCTCCATCGTCCTCCTCGCTCAGGGAGGACGGTGGCCGCGGGGCTCCTCCGGAGTGTCTAGTGGCGTGGGCCCCGGCGGCCGTGCAGTGATTGGACGTAGCCGTGCTGCCCACGGGGGAGATGAGGCGGAGCTGATCCCTGGGGCCCAAGACAAGGTGTCCCCGTGGGATTGTAGGAACTGTGGTTTGTGCGTTGCTGTTTTGGTCCGAGGCAGAGGAGGAGGCTGCTGCAGCGGAGGCTGGAGGTGGCGTGTGCTTCAGGAGACCAGTGAACATCTGAAAGAGAAAAGTGTCAGAAACTAAGTTTATTGGTATAATACCATAATTGCTGTGTCACTGTTGCCAGCTCTGCGTCACGTTTGACATCAATGTTGAGCTCAATAAACAGGAATGTGTGTCGTTACGTGTTTGTGGTCTCCCACAGGTAAGATTTGAAAATCCTCTCATGTTCAACACATTATGTTATGAATAAGTCCAGTGTCAGTCAGAGGAGTGTTATCCATGTGACTGGGCGGATTTAACATGAATCCAGCAGAGGAGAAGCCTCCAGCAGACACATACTAACGTCCTAGGGGAAGTTAAAAATAGACATTACTGCCCCTGCTCAGCGCGCTGTTGTTCTTCTATGTTTTACAAAAATATTTAAAATATCACTTCCTGGAGACCGGAGAGATTTTTCCCAGAAAAATCTCCATGTTTACAAAAGTAAAGTTCATTGTTGAAGACTTCAAACACTAATAAACATGATGGCGTTTGACTGTCGCTGAGCATCGAAGCTGTCATCTGTGTCACATCAGTCCCATTTACTTTGTTTGTTTGATTCGCTGTAGAGTTGATGAGACACATGTTTAAATACACTGTGCACGCATTCCCCTGCTTCGCACAACGTGAGGCGTAACGTGACGTGCAGGACATCAGGGTTAAAGTGACGGAAAGATCCAGAGACACAATCCATATCGGCATGTGTGAAGAGGGGCAGAGACGAGCGGACACACATACACACTCCTGCAGACAGAAGTTCTTCCAGCAGATCATGACTGAATGTCTGACTGATCCTATTAATTGATGAAAAAGCAGCCAAGTGCAGTAATATAGAAAATTGTGGATGTGATACATAGAAATGCATCGTTGTGAGTCGAATCATTGACTGTTGAATCGTAATGGAATCGTGAGGTTAGTGAAGATGCACACCTCAATCAAGTACGAAAGATATGAAGGACAATCAGCGTCTCAGAGAGCTCTTCTTCATAACTGAAGATAAGGTGAAGTAGTGAAGAAGAAAATGAGTAAATAAATAACCCTGGAAACCCCACGGAATCTCTCAAACGACAGACTGGGACAGTTGGCATCCATAGTCCTAACATATACATATCTGTGTCTATGAGAAAGACCTTCAACAGACAGAGTTGTCCAGAAGTTCTTTTTGAATTTCCATAATCATTTGGTACAAGATATTGAGAGCTTTGTTCATACAGTAGAGTACAGTACGTGGAATCCTGTGCCCTGAAATTTGGATTTTGGATCTAATATTTAAACAAGTGAGTATTACTGCAGCAGGACTGAGTATGTGAGGCTTCGACGGTGATGGAGGATAGATGCAGAATGAGGAAACTTCAGCTTCTGATTCTCGCAGCAGGTTTTCAGACATCAGGTAGAAAGCAGAGCTTAGGTGCTTGATATTATGTGAGAGTTATAATAATAAGTCTCTGGTGTCTGCATAAACACTTGGAGCTATAAATATTCATGAGTAGTAGGTGGACCTGGAGGTCAGTGTAGCATGTGGGCAAATATTACGATCCATTTAAATCAAAAATGCAGAAATGCTTCAATTTTAAATCAGGCAGACCAAGATTACAATTCCACAAGATTAAATTGTAAGAACTGAATTCTTGATTTTTTGAGTCATGAGTTTCCACTGTTGTGCTGCAGTCTACGTCAGCGTGAAGCCAATTTTCATCACTTCTTTTGTATTTTTTTACAGTCAATTTTATTTCTGCCAAAGTTAGAGACTTTTGAAAATGTTAGTGAAAGTAGTCATGTTCAATGCAGAGAAATGACTCAACCCCATGGTGCGAAAGTTTCACTGAGGATCAGACACTCTTCAGACATACTTAAGAAAATTACAAACACAAAAACAGTCGAGTATTAAGAGTAAAAAATACGTTTTTCTGAGCTATAAACTAAATTATATGAAATATTTTAGATGCCCATCATGTCGTCTATCTTTATATACGGTCTATAGACTGAATTAACTGACATCTGCAGCCCCTACCAGGACGACAACGTTAAATTAGAACCAAAATCCAAGGTGAAGGCATTCTACTTTATCATGGATGTGGGTGCATGTGTGTGTGTGTGTAATGAATCCTGCTACATCATGAATAATAATGTGCCACTTGATTGATCCCTGCAGGGAAATTGTCTCTACTTATTTAAACCACATAAGGTCAGAGCAAAGGGTCTATTTAACGTCACGTGGAACTGGTGGAAGAACACTTGAGTAAGCTCTTCAAATCTGAAAACAACCCGAGGGACCCAAAATACAAAATATAATATGCAGCCCCCGTTTTCACCTCGGTCTCCTCATATTCGATTACCCAACATGATTAATTACCAAGACATGTTGTGTTATAAGGATGTGTGAATATATTTCACTTGTGTTACAGTGGTGCAGACTGTGCACAGCAACACAATACAGTGTGTATGTTGAGCTGAGAGACGATGGGAGACACTGGGACCTATTTACTGACGTTATGAAAAAATATCAAAAGTATTTCAATGTCAATTTTCGCACACAAAATATATAAATTCAAGCACTTTGATCTACTAAGTTTGAAGCATCTCAAAGACGAGCAGTGATTAATCCCGTTAACTAACAGACAAACAAACGCAGGTGAAAACATAATCTCCCTGTCTGAGGTAATTAAATGTGAATCCAGGACCAACACATCGTTTGCAAGAAGGAAATTAAAAAAAACAACACTAATCCGTCACAAAAGCAGGATCCATCAAATAATCAAAGTATCAATATTTAAAACCAATCAATAGTGAATGACCTCTTGAGTGTCAGCAGGAACTCGAGGAATGTGCCTGCATCCTCCATCTGAAGGTCTTATCAAGGACAGCAGTGTGTGAGTGTGTGAGTGTGTGAGTGTGTGTGTGTGTGTGTGTGTGTGTGTGTGTGTGTGTGTGTGTGTGACAGTGGTGATGTGAATTAACTGAAGCTGCTGACGGACACTCGGCTACACACTGATTCCTCCCTCTGGTGCAAACCAAACACACGGTGGAAGCTCCAAATCCACATTCACGTTAAAGACCATGTTGCCGTCTGTGTTGCTGTTGTCAGGCTCACGTTAATCTCTGACTCATATTTGTTTGTTCGCATTTTTGTTTGTTTATTGCATATTATGGGATGCAGCCGTGCTCCGCAGGATTAAGTGTCACGTTCACTGTTGGCTGCAGATGCACGGTTATGATTTATAAGTGTGAACACAGAAGAGGAACACACACATGGAGGAATAAACACAATTGTCACATTATAGTGTTAATGATTCAGACTAATGAAGAACCTCTCACACCTTCGTTCTGCTGCATATGTTAATATCTGAGCCTGAACTCTTGATGTTGATGTCCTGCTGTGTCTCCTTTGTTCGTAAACCAGGCTTCTCTGGATGAGATGCTAAATTTAGCAAGTTGGTTTAAAAATTTGGAGATAATCAGAGGATTACTATCTAAAAAAAAAACTTTCAAAGCAGGTGCAATTAAAATGTACATACAGTTACATATCAAATCAAAAGTTTTTATCTGAAATTAAGCACTTTTAAAGGAGCTTCTTGTTACCACCGCTCGTCTAAGGAAACAGATTTCATATTATTCTTGTTTTGAAGAAATTGTGTGAAATTCTTCTTTTCCAAAAATAAAGTAAAAATAAATAAAATTTAGTTGTGGTCTCACTCTCTGCATCCAAACAGATCGTTTGATCCAGATGTTGTGATCTCGTAGTAATGTGTTCCTAGAAGAAAACCAAGTACATCTTCAGTTAAATTACAGCAGGTGTTTGTTATATGGTTCAAAATATCACCTCAGTGTGAAATTTAAAATGCCTCCCGTGTCATGTGGACGTACAACATGCACTCTGTAATCCTGAGCGACAGTTAAAGAGTCGTTATCCTTTGGTTTCAAACTTAAACTGGATCAGACCACAGACGTCAGTACAGCATAAGAGGAGTCTAAACACATCAGAGTCACACGAGGCCTCCGACGAAGACAAACACTGAATCCTGCAGTGCTCAGGTTTATTGTGGAGGACAATAAGACTGTGAGTGTGAGCATATGCAGAACTGTAGCTTCATATGATTTGTTTCTATGATGCTTGTGAAGTGCAACAATAGAATGAAATGAGGTTTTAAAGTGAAAAAGTAAATTATGAAGAATCGAGAGTCACATTAATATAGAGGAGCAGAAATGACAGAAGTTCAATAGATGAAAGCATCAACAAAATAATAGCACTTACAAGATCGATTAGAAGAAACGGTTCGTAACATAATGGAAAGTGTGTCAATGTTATTTGTAGTATTTGTACATAAGAAAACGTCTGGTAGAGATGAAGGGAGAAGCAATGACACATGAATTGAGTTACTGTCAGTAATGGTATAATAAGCAAGTACGCGTATTGTATATATCAAGTGTTGTTGTAATCATAGTCCACGATCAGCTGCCGCCAAATAAACAACATGGAAATACCTAAAAAAAACACAAATCAACCCTGGTGTCTGCGAGGAGTCAAAACCCTTCACTGGTTGTAAATGAAATCTTATCTGTGAACTTTCCTCCTGCGGTGGAACAAAATGCGCTGCAGCTTTAATTATTAAATACGCATTAAATTCATGAATTAACAATACATTGAGCAGCTGCTTGAATATAAACTTCCTCCATAAAAAAAAAAATAAAGTGGAATTCACGCCCTGCGGTTGTATGCCTCCGCCATCCAGTCCTGTTTCAATCTACATACAGACTCGTGAGGTCACTGTGACCTTTGAGCCAAAGTGAAAACTGGTCCAAATCTAGTGAAATTCTCTAAAAGAAGACTTCAGATACATTCAAGAGATCAAAAACAGGATTCGGGAGGAGAACGTGACCTTGACTTTTGACCTACGGCCTTCAAAATCTGGGAGTGTAAGTGAACGTGGTACAAAATTTGAAGAAACTCCCTCAAGGTGTTTCTTGAGATGTTGCATTCACTGGAAGAAGAAAGTTTTTGGTGAATGCACAGCGGC